TTATATAGCAAAGAATTAGACTGAAGTTGAGCAATAAGCTTTTACTCAAATTGACCGATAGCAATTCATATAAACTGACCAGTCAGCAGATAGTAAAGTTAACCAATCAGAGAATGTGACTGGTAACTATAGCCGAGCCTTATCATATCTGAGGTGAGACCACCTTGAGGCACACAAGTGAGCCGTCCAAGGGATGGGGGTCCATTTTCAAGTTTGGGGAATGCCTTTGGTGTGGGGCCCCTGTAGCCTTTAATAGAGAGAGTCGTGTCAGCAATAATAAATCATTAAGTATTTTAAATAAGAATCGATAAATAAAACATATTTCCTGGGGGCAACTTACTTTTAGTTGGGGCCCCTTGTACCGCCTAGACTTAGGATCCAAAGGGCCCCACCAAAACATAGTTATTGACTTGGAGACTTACAAGACTGACCAGTTACTTGGAGGCCACATGTGGTGACCTCCATCACTGACCAGGAGGTCATTATATTCCGTGCAGCTCAATAGTTGGCCATAGTAGTCAGTAAGCAAGTTGTTGTAATGTACAAATGGTATAACGAGGGCTGCCATCTGATTGGCTGGTCTTGGCGACGCAGATACTTCAGAGTGTTCTATATGTACCAGTAAGCCAGCGTCTTCTCTTCTCAGGGACATCGCTGTCAGGAATATCCTGGTGGCCTCACATGAGTGTGTCAAGCTTGGAGACTTCGGCCTCTCGCGGTATATAGAAGAAGAAGAGTATTACAAAGGTCAGGACTCACAAACTCTCAGTTGCTGTGGGTATGGAGGCAAAAACGAACTTGGTGTATTTCCTTTTCCATGTCCAGTGTAATACTACAATAAGGCCACTAGATGGAGCCTCTTTCCTATGCTCATCAGCGCCATCTAGTGGCCATATGTATATATTGCCTATGCTCCTCCCCCATCTAGTGGCCATATGTATATATTTCCTATGCTCCTCCCCCATCTAGTGGCCATATGTATATATTTCCTATGCTCCTCCCCCATCTAGTGGCCATATGTATATATTTCCTATGCTCCTCCTCCATCTAGTGGCCATATGTATATATTTCCTATGCTCCTCCTCCATCTAGTGGCCATATGTATATATTTCCTATGCTCCTCCTCCATCTAGTGGCCATATGTATATATTTCCTATGCTCCTCCTCCATCTAGTGGCCATATGTATATATTTCCTATGCTCCTCCTCCATCTAGTGGCCATATGTATATATTTCCTGTGCTCCTCAGCTCCATCTAGTGGTCATATGTATATATTTCCTATGCTCCACAGCTCCATCTAGTGGTCATATGTATATATCTCCTATGCTCCTCCTCCATCTAGTGGTCATATGTATATATTTCCTATGCTCCTCCTCCATCTAGTGGCCATATGTATACATTTTCTATGCTCCTCCTCCATCTAGTGGCCATATGTATATATTTCCTGTGCTCCTCCCCCATCTAGTGGTCATATGTATATATTTCCTATGCTCCACAGCTCCATCTAGTGGTCATATGTATATATGTCCTATGCTCCTCCTCCATCTAGTGGTCATATGTATATATGTCCTATGCTCCTCCTCCATCTAGTGGCCATATGTATATATTTCCTATGCTCCTCAGCTCCATCTAGTGGTCATATGTATATATTTCCTATGCTCCTCCCACATCTAGTGGCCATATGTATATATTTCCTATGCTCCTCAGCTCCATCTAGTGGTCATATGTATATATCTCCTATGCTCCTCCTCCATCTAGTGGTCATATGTATATATGTCCTATGCTCCTCCTCCATCTAGTGGCCATATGTATATATTTCCTGTGCTCCTCCCCCATCTAGTGGTCATATGTATATATTTCCTATGCTCCACAGCTCCATCTAGTGGTCATATGTATATATGTCCTATGCTCCTCCTCCATCTAGTGGTCATATGTATATATTTCCTATGCTCCTCCTCCATCTAGTGGCCATATGTATATATTTCCTATGCTCCTCAGCTCCATCTAGTGGTCATATGTATATATTTCCTATGCTCCACAGCTCCATCTAGTGGTCATATGTATATATCTCCTATGCTCCTCCTCCATCTAGTGGTCATATGTATATATTTCCTATGCTCCTCCTCCATCTAGTGGCCATATGTATACATTTTCTATGCTCCTCCTCCATCTAGTGGCCATATGTATATATTTCCTGTGCTCCTCCCCCATCTAGTGGTCATATGTATATATTTCCTATGCTCCACAGCTCCATCTAGTGGTCATATGTATATATGTCCTATGCTCCTCCTCCATCTAGTGGCCATATGTATATATTTCCTATGCTCCTCAGCTCCATCTAGTGGTCATATGTATATATTTCCTATGCTCCACAGCTCCATCTAGTGGTCATATGTATATATCTCCTATGCTCCTCCTCCATCTAGTGGTCATATGTATATATTTCCTATGCTCGTCCCACATCTAGTGGCCATATGTATACATTTTCTATGCTCCTCCTCCATCTAGTGGCCATATGTATATATTTCCTGTGCTCCTCCCCCATCTAGTGGTCATATGTATATATTTCCTATGCTCCACAGCTCCATCTAGTGGTCATATGTATATATTTCCTATGCTCCTCCCACATCTAGTGGCCATATGTATATATTTCCTATGCTCCTCAGCTCCATCTAGTGGTCATATGTATATATTTCCTATGCTCCTCCCACATCTAGTGGCCATATGTATATATTTCCTATGCTCCTCAGCTCCATCTAGTGGTCATATGTATATATTTCCTATGCTCCTCCCACATCTAGTGGCCATATGTATATATTTCCTATGCTCCTCAGCTCCATCTAGTGGTCATATGTATATATTTCCTATGCTCCTCCCACATCTAGTGGCCATATGTATATATTTCCTATGCTCCTCAGCTCCATCTAGTGGTCATATGTATATATCTCCTTAGTGGAGTTAGGTTCGGATATCTGTTCTCGTCTGACTCTTGTCTTCTCTCTCGCCCCCTCCAGCTTCAGTAACTCGACTCCCAATCAAGTGGATGGCTCCGGAATCCATCAACTTCCGCCGCTTCACCTCGGCCAGCGACGTCTGGATGTTTGGTGAGACATTGGGTCAAATTGGGTCTAGAGCCGGTTCTGGGAAGCCCTGAGCCGATCACAGATGAGAAAAGTCACATGACCGGGGGCCGGTTGTAAGGGGAGAGTGAATGGTAGTGGAGGTGTGGTGGTGGTGGAGATGGTGGAGATGGTGGTGGTGGAGGTGGTGGAGATGGTGGTGGTGGTGGAGGGTTAGTGAAGGAGGTCAGAGAAGGTTGCTAGTGGTTTGGTAGAGTTTAGGGACCTCGTGGGAGCAGGGGCCATTACTGAGGGACCCCGTGGCTTGAAAATTGAGGTACCTGAGGACGATCTCATTCCAATGTCCAAAACATGTTGTTGGGGTGCAGTTTTTATTTAAGGTGGAACTTAAGTTCTGGCACCAAAAATAACTAGTCCAGCGTGATGGAAAAGAAACCTGAGCCGTCCCCCACAGAACCTCCTCTCCATCTCCAGTCGTCTTCTGGCCGCCAGTCCTCATCCAAGTTGAATGGCGACCAGCGGAATGGAAAGGAGTATTGAGGCAGCTGTCCAGGACTGAAGGGAAGGGAGTTCCCCTTTAAGTAACGACCTTTGGTGTACAATGTGAACCTGAGCCCTCTTCTTTCTGTCCCTTTCAGGGGTCTGCATGTGGGAGATCCTCTCGTTCGGCAAGCAACCGTTTTTCTGGCTGGAGAACAAAGACGTCATCAGCGTCATCGAAAAAGGGGATCGCCTCCCCAAACCCGAGATCTGCCCGCCCACCCTGTACACGTTAATGACCCGCTGCTGGACCTACGACCCCTCGGAGAGGCCCAAATTTACAGAACTAGTCTGCAGCCTGAGGTAGAGTCCTGATCTCTAAGGGGATGAGAAAAACTATTTTACCTGCTTGGGGGGGGGTTGTAATTCTCTCCATCCAGTCCTGACATCTACGCAGCTCTGCCACACAGTACAGCCGAGCCTGATTTTAATCTGCTGCAGTTCAGGAACGCTTACAGTTCTTGTCCCTCCCCCAGCCTGTGAGTGGACAGTGAAAGGAGAAGCAGCAGACTGATGAGCTCATCTCTCTGTCACCTATCAGCATGCGACTTGCACTGCAGCACAACCTTGTGCTGCTCCTTCCTATCCCAGCCTGAGCTCTGCTGTACAGGGATCACAAGAGGCCGATACCAAGTCAAGTGCGGCTACTTACATCGCGTGCTCAGCTCTACCAGGATGGCCGAGTGGTTAAGGCGTTGGACTTAAGATCCAATGGATGTATATCCGCGTGGGTTCGATCCCCACTCCTGGTATGTCTTGGTGACTTATTGATAGCTCATGTCGTATTCACCAACCACCCCCCTCGGACATTGCCGTCCTGGTTATGCAGGCAGTGAAACAAATTATACAGTGAAGGGCGCTCCGGATCACTTCTTATCAGATACCTTCTGCGAATAAACACTTGTTTTTTTTAAATAATGTAATTTGTCTGATACAATAACAGGATTAAAAAAAAAATTAAAAAAAAAGCTTAATACCTGAATGTGACCCCGGTGGCAGCCTCTTGCAATCCTGTTTTGCGGTAGAGCTCAGACCGGAAAAGGGAGAAGCAGCACATACAACCAATCAGTTGTGTTGCAGTGCAAGGAACATGCTGATAGGAGGAGAGAACAGAGTGATAAAGACAAACAAAAAGATACCTTGTTGCACTTCTTACTGGAAAAAAACAAAGTTGAATGAAG